CCTTGGTAAAATGGGACAAATTTGAGACCTGCAAAATCGAATCAGACTCAAGCACAAAGATGGTGGACCTGAGGATTATAATATCACAACCACTCATGATTTTATATATGGCCAACAAGGCAAAGGTATCACCAGCACAGCAGTAGAAAATCTCCTTCAACCCACATCCATTACTCCTACAATTGTATGTTTTGCCAATATTTTCATTTACTAAGTTGACTTACACCTCATCCAGAACACATTCTCAAAAGTCCTCCCATGGGACTTTGATAAATATAACCTCTTCATGGTTGATCTCATGCATGAAGTGGAATTGGGAGTCTGGAAGGCTATACTCACACACCTCACCTGATTACTACATGTGCTGGGTGATGATAAAGTGCAAGAATTTAATCAAAGGTTAGATAAATTTAATATTAGATTTTATACATGTTGCTCATTTGAACTTTGCATTAGATTCCACCAGGTACCAACATTTGGGAGAGATACAATTTGTCTATTTTCTGACAATGTCTCAGCAATGACAAGATTAAATGCTGGAAACTTTGCAGATATATTACAGGTACTAATTAATTGTGAATGAATTACTATGATCTGTTCTAATAGTATCATTGTTAGTGCTGTCTGCCTGTCCTCGAGGGTCTAATCCCATCTCCTCACAACAAGGTGGTCCATTCCATGGTGTTTGCACTGGCAACCTGGAATGCCCTTGCTAAATTACAACACCATATGGACAGTACATTATACAGCCTTTCCCACGTGACAAAGATTCTAGGGGATACTGTCAGACAGTTTGCAAAGGTTACCTGTGCTTCAATCATTGCTCAGGAATTACCAAAGGAGAAAGCTGCAGGTTTCCGCAGGCATGAGAAGAATAAACAAAAAGACCCCAATTCTTGTGAAGTGCCAATTGCCACTGACAAGTCGAAGAAGTTCAACATTAGTCGACCAAAATTTCATTTTCTAGGTGATTATGTCTCCATTATCAAGTGGTTCGGTGTTGCACCAGGTTATTCTACACAACAGGTATGTTGTCACAAATTTTCTTCTATCCTGTGAGTTAATTCTTATGCTTTAGAGTGAAAGAGCCCACCAAAAAATCAAGCAGAGATACCCTCATGTTAGCAAGGCAAACCCTGCAATGGGGTTAACAAAAATAGACCAATGCGAAATCAATATCCGACATATTAAGCAATTGGGTGGGAAAAATATGAGCATCGCACCTTCTCATGCCTGGAGTCACTGCATACCCTGCGAAAAGGATGAGTCACTCCCACCTGGAGACCTCTCCCTACAATTCCAAATATCCATAGGTCACAAGTTTCACTTTGAGATTGGAGAATTTTTGAGGCAAAATGACGGTGATCCTGCTGTTAAGGTGAGATGTATAGCTGATCAGATGATTC